GCGCATGCCCCTGCGGGAGTGCGTATGCTGCTGCGTAGCTGTTGCAGGGCGCGGCGCTAAGGCCTGCGTACGCTGCGTAATCAAAGCCGGCCCCAGACGCGCCATATGCGTAGTCAAACGCCCCGTCAGCACCATAGCCGCCGGTGTAGCTGCCCGCCTGCGCGGCCGCGTCCCACGCCTGCGAGCGCGCCCACGCGGGCAGCGTGGCGTGGTCCCCCCACGCGGCGGCGAGTGGTGCGCTGGGCGGGGCCGCTGTGGGTGCGGAGATCTCCCCTTCTTCGGGCTCGACGGCAGCCGCAAGCCGCTGTCCCTGCTGCTGCTGCTGCTGCTGCTGCTGCTGCTGCTGCTGCTGCTGCTGCTGCTGCTGCTGCTGCTGCTCGTGCGCGCCGCCAGCGCCAAGCTGCTCCAGCGCCGGCCCCAGTCGCGCAAACATGCCCTGCAGCTGCCGCATCACAGACTCCTCATATGTCCCCCAGCCGAGCGCCCCCGCCGCGTCCCCCGCCGCCGCGGCCGCGCGCTGGCGCGCCGAAAACGCGCCCCACTGCTGCTCGAGCACGTCCAGCTGTATCAGCATCCGCAGCGCCGCCGGCGCCGCGGCCAGGAGCGGGGCCGCCGCGGCGGAGAGCTCCGAGCGCAAGAGGCCGAGCACGGGCTCGACCTCGCCGCTTGGCAGCTGCACAGCCCCGCTGCCCTCAGCCCCGCCCGCCGGCGCGGCGGGTGGCGGCGCCGACGCCGCGTCGGCGCCGGCGGCTGCGGCGGTGTGGCCACTCTGCACGCTGCTGGCGGCCTCGCCGCCGCCCGCGGCCGCGCCGTGGCCGCCCGGCGGGGGAATGAGGTCATCCCCATCCACGCCTGCCGGCGGGTCCCAGATCACTTCGTTCGTGGAAACGTTCCAATAGTAAACCTTGCCGCCGCCGGTGTCCAGCACCTTGCACCACTCGGGCGCGCCGGCCAGCGACCCCAGTGTCCGCTGCTCCGCCGCGCCCCCATCCCCGGCCCCGCTCTCCGGCTCCGGCTCCGCCGCCGCCGCCGCCGCGGCGTCCGGCGGCGCGCCGCCGCGGGGGGTGGCCGCTGCGGCTTCGCCCTCGCCGTCGAGCAGGCCGATGGACTGCAGCTCCTCCATGAAACACGCGAGCTATGATTGAATGACGAGCAAAGCGGGGCAGGAGGGGGAGGCAGCGTAATTGGTGAGGGCCAGGGCCGAGGCGGAGGCGGGCTGGCGGGAGTGTGGGGCGTCCGGCGGGTCGTGCGTGCGTCGAGGCCCGAGCGGGGGCCACATGCGCGAGCAGCTGCTGGTGTTCAGTGGTGCATGCGTGGAGCGGCTGCAGAGGAAAAGGGCGTGGAGCAACGGCAGCACGCAGGATAAGGGACAGCAGCGCCACCGCCTGGCCCACCTCCGACGCCAAGCTGGGAGCGGCGTCGGCCCCGGCCTGCGGGGCGGTGGCGTCGACCGCCGCGCCAGGCTCGGAAGCGCCGCCCGCCGCGCCGCCGCCGGCCGCGCTGCTCCTCGCGGCCGGCGCGTGCTCGCCTCCGTCGCTGCTGCCGTCGTCGTCGCTGCGCAAGGGGGCGCGGCCGGGTTGGTGCAGGAGCAATCAACATCAAGGCGCAGGCAGCGCGGCGGGCGTGCTGCATGGTGCGCAAGCGCCGGCCGATTTGCGGGAGTGCTCCTCAGCCCCAATCCAGCACTCGCCTGTAGTCTCCAAGCAGCGACGCCAGCGGATTATGGTCGGCCGCTTCGTCGACGCCATCGCCCTCTGCTTCCTCTTCCGGGGCGTCCGGATCAGGCATCAGCGTGCGCCTGCCCTTTGGTATGGCGCACAAGGCAGCAACAAATGCAGCGCGCAGCGCCTCGCCTGCATCGACGCCGCAATTCAAGGACATGCGGTCAGGTAGAGCGCGTGTTCGTGGTGATTAAGGGAGCTATCACAATCAAAATTGAGCTGCAGTCGTGCATCATGCACGCATGGGCAGGCCGTGGCGCGACGATCTGCGGGCTGGGCGTACCTTTGATCACTTGCTGGGTGTCCTTGGGTGTGGAATCTTCTCGGAGCTGAAGCTTGGCCCGCATGGGCCTCTCCGACTGGCTTGCCCCGCGCTCAAAAACTCAGGAGTGCAACTACGTACAGTACGCAACGCTCGCGCTGAATTACTGGGTCAAATGTACGCAATGGAAGGTGTTTGCGGGAGACGATAACCGCAGCGACTTGGCGGTGACGATGGCACATCAGTGTGCGTCACTGTAGTGCTGCACATTTGTGCTCAATGGCCACGCAGCACAAGTAGCAGTAACTGAGTCAACTGAGCAACGAGCGGTTGTGCCAGCAACGGGCATATTTGCATCCGAACTCAGCGCATACCGGCCGTTTGTGTGCACTGGGCTTCAGAATTTGGTGCTCAACTTGCGACAAAAGTTGACTCGCGGTACATCTGCCAGTGGTCAATTGGCAGGTTGACCTGCAGCGGAGGAGCGTACGAGAAACTTGGCGGCTACTGGGTTGCATGACAGTTGACCCAGCAAGTTGGTGAGCGCGGCTCACGGCCCGGCGAGCAGATGCATGCGCTTGGCGGCATGCAGATGCGTGAGGTGCTGAGTCACGTATGCACGTCACAACCAGCGCCACTCTGGCTGTCAGACAGTGCGGCCAAGCAGCCACTTGTGCTCTTTGTGTGACCTGCAGTAGCTCGATTCCCTGTTGCATTCACCAATGGTGTGCTACGTATCAGGGCAGCTGGTCGCGACTCTAGACACGCACAGCTGGATTGAGCTGGTACAGTATGGCGCCAGAGGTGGCACCGCACGACACCTTACTGGGGCACCAACAGGGCTGCTGTTGGTTGCCTAGGTCTGCTGCGGCAAGCGCAGCTGCCACTTTGCTTCGTGTCGGCGCCGGGCGTTTGTGATGCGCACGAATTCACTACGATACAGTACTCAAAATGCGTTGCGATGCACGAGCGGCGGCATAAACGCGCGAGCCCTCAGCAGTTGATGGTAGTGCGACTGCCGACCCACTGCCTGCGTGCGGTGTGTTGCAGGGCGCTGCTTAAGCTGCCATGATGTCGCTGGTGCAAACGGCTGTGCGGAATTCTCGGTCCTGCTTGGGCATCCCACCAAATACAGTACCTGCCTGCCACCGTCCTGTGGGCGTGTTGATCCTCGTACTTTGGCCCTGACACGCCAGGGTGCGAAGGGGCTTTTCCTGTGTTGTTGGCCGAGTTTCCTAGGCTTCTGGCACCAGGGGCTGGATCAATCCACAAGAAAACCCAGTGTTGCATTGAGGCTCACTGCAAACACATATGCGCTGAACCCATGTCTGCACCCAGCAGCCCGAGAGGAGGAGGGGGGAGAGGCGCACCGCTCCCGACAGCAATGTGCCACGTGTTAGGCCTGGGGTGCCCTGGCCAGCTCGCCTGAAGCAATAGGGGCACCTGCGTTGACCGCCTAGTCCTGCCTTTTGGGGGGCTCCACACCAATTATCATCAGGCAGTGTCAACAGTATGGAAGCCAATCATGCGCACTCAGTGATGTGTTGGATGCCGCTGCAAGTCCGGGAGTGTGGGGTAATGTCTCACAAACAGAGAGTGTGCCGCGCCACACCAGCCCAAGGCCACCTGGGTGTGCGGGTGAGTGGCCGGCTGCCGTGCGGAGGGAATCCATGCGTTCCCATGGTGGGCACGGGTGATGCCTTCGGTACATTTCCAAAATGATTGCAGGACCACCCGCGATATCCACTCCGCAAAGCCAAATCGTCATCGGTGCGGCGCGGCCACATTTGCAGATCATAGCAACCCTTTCCAGCTCCTAGCCTGGGCTTCCGTGTGTACCTGAAGACAATATGCGCTCAATGTGCCACCTGTGCTGGGCCGTGCTGCTGGGTGAGCAAGGGGCTCAAGCCACATGCCTGATCATGCCAGCATGGCATGCGCCCCCATCAGCCGCGCCTGTTTTGCTGCTGCTGCCGTGTGTGCAGCCTCACGCGTGCTTTTGAAATGCCTGCGTTTGTAGCTGCCTTTTTGGCCCCGCATCTTGGTTTCACGGTGCTGTGTGACCATCACATTGCCCCCACCCAGGGCTCTGTCACTCAGCTCCCCACCCCACAACATCACCCTTGCCCCTATCTTTTTGTCGCAGCCGCGGCACTGCTCAACACCGCCAACGCCACCGGCCAGGGGGCGCGCGGCCTTCTCGCTGACATCACCGCCACTGGCGGCACCACCGTCGTGGGCGGCGCCAAGCCCACAGTCGTCTCCGACACGCCCGTCGCTGACCCCGCGGCCACCATCAACTCGGCCATGGCGCAGCAGTCCCAGGCGATGGCCCAGTTCGGCCAGGACATGAACGCCGCCGCGGCCCAGATGGCGCAGGGCGCAGGCATGATGGCCGGCAGCCTCACGGCGCCAGCCGCCAGCCCGTTCGTGTTCCCAGCAGGCTTCGCCGTGCAGAGCCCCGCCGCTGCACCCGTTGCGCCCAAGGCTGCGGCAGCGGCGCCCGCATCTGCACCCGCACCCGTCGCCGCGCCCGCCGCCCCTGCCGCCGCCGCCGCGCCTGCACCGAAGCCGGCGGCCTCATCTGCCGGGGGCGTGGTGCGTTCCGGCGCGGTGCACTGCGTCGCAATTGCGGCCGCGCTCTCCTTCGCGGCTTTCGCTTGATCGCCTCATCGCACCCGCTTGACGCTGTGTGCAACGCGCTTGGCCGCTTGTCGAACGCGCTGATGCTCCCCTTGTCTCAAAACCTTGAAATATGGCACGTCCACCCAAACTACAACATTGGACACCAACCTGTCTTACCCTGTCCTTGCCGCGCTGCTATATGGCTGCCATCAACAAGCGGCGCTCACTGTTGCGCACCGGCTTTATCGTCGGATGCGCCCCGCTTTCATGAACTTTTCTGCATGTTTATGTAACCGGCAAGTAATGCGATCTCAGGTCTGGCGACACTGTTGTGGGTCATGTGTTGAATGTGGCCAGACCACCTGGCAGGCAGGGCGCTGCGCCTCACCACCACAGCTGGCCACACGAAAATCACATGTCCACCGGCCACACCTCGCATGGCTGCCCCGCCCTGCACCTGCCCTGAGCACATCGATACAGCCCTCAAGAGCACCATGCTCACTATCTCACAAGACCACCACGCCCACAAAAGCAGAGCGCACTCGCTTGCGACTGCTTGCATGCTGTACAGCAGGACTGGATAGTAGGTTCTGGCTTCACGGAGTTTCACTGCAGAGTGCTGTTCAAAATTGCGTTACAAGCATTGAAGCTTGGCGGCCAAGGATTGCGTACAACAGCGGATTGCTTTCACATATGGTAGCCGGATCAGGAACGAGAGGGGGGGCACATGCATGACTGGAAGATGGGTATGGCCACGGCTGATAAGACTGGTTGTAGTCCCCGGAATTTGAGTCGCCGCAACTGCGCTGTGGGAGCGTGGTTGCAAAACAACAGGCAGCTGCTTGTGTGGGTAAAGCACAGTCCGCGGGGCATCCATGATCCAGGCCCTTGGAAGACCGCAGGCAGCTGCCACCCCTGATAGACCTGGGCATGGTGTTTGATGACCTAAGCCAGCCTCATGATACGATATGCAGCCAACGGTCTGCGCCAGCGCACCTCAATCACTCCAGGATGGACGGGGTGACCCACAGCTGCGGCACAGCGCTTGCGCCGCCGCGCGGCAGCAGCAACACATGCAGCCTTGATACAAATGCCCCATACCTTCTGTTGCACACATACATTTGCGGCATCAAGTCAAACGCGTTGCATTCACAACAAAGTCGCGCCTTCGCATAGACCGGGCATCGCTGATCGACTTTTGCCGAACCGATCGCACGACAGCCGGTGACCTTAAGCAAGTCGTATCAATGGCAGTGGCAATGAAGATGGCGCGCAGCTGGCCTTTCCTACTTGGTGAGCGCAGCAGCGCCCCACCCCTCCTTGTGCCCCGGCACAGCAGAGCACTGCCAGGACACATCCCACTGACGGCGTAGCCCGGCCTGTGGTGGCACACATTTGTCATACGTGGCTGCATGCTGCGACGGAGGTCATCTATACGTGGCTGCGCTGGTATCCGCTGTGCTCCGCCGCTGTGCTCCGCCGCTGTGCTCCACCGCTGACGCAGCCCGCGCCCACCCACCTCCCCACGCACGCACAGTTGTGTCGTCCCTCCTCCATGCCAGCAGCGCCTTTGCAGCCGCGGCGCCGCAGCTACCGCGCCGCCTGCTTCTCGCCGCGCCCGTGGCTGCGCCCCGCTTCCCTCAAATGGGCGGCCATGGCGGCATGGCTCCCATGCAGATGGGCTTTGTAAACGGAGTGCCTGTCATGTCGATGGGCGGCGCGGGCGGCCCCATGATGCGCATGGGTGGCGGCTCGGTGCCCGTCATGCAGATGAATAATGGCCGGCCGGCTGGCGAGATGACCATGATCGGTGGCAGCACGCCCCTCTATAACATGGGCGGCCGCACGACAGTGCAGCAGGGCGGCAGCTACAACAGCCTCAGCCGCGGCGGCACCACCATGGTTGGCGGGAGCACAGGGCCGGTGACTAACGAGGGCGGCAGTGTGTTCGTGGACCGCGGCACCAACAGGCGCCTCTAAGCGTGATGGCGGTGATGTGAGGGCGCGCCGGGGCGGCGGACGCTCAGCCCATCAGCACTTGAGCGCTTGGAGTGGCGTTTTTGCCAAGCAAGCAAGTGTTTTCAGCAGCAGTGCTGCCAGCAGTTGCTCACACTGCTCTTTAATGCACATGGCTTGTAACCTGTTCGTCATGTATGGAGTTTTGTGACGGTTTATTTGAGCACTGAATTCCTTGTGGCAAACGGCCTGGCAACATTGGCTATTTTGCTGTTGTGCCTTAGATGACATGTCGTTTGTTCCTGGGTGCCTGCACTCTTCGAATGATTCATACTGGGGAGGTGCCTGCAACAGCGGCACATTGAGTAACCAAACAAACACTGTTGCGGCTGAATGGCTTGTAATCCATGTTGCAGCATCTTTTGATTATTGGATAATTCTGTTTGTTTCGGGGGGCGGCGGGGGTTTGCAGGGGGGTGAAGAGGCTGGCAGGGGTCGTATCTGCCTGACGGTCTTATATGCTTGTCGGTCAAATCGACACAATCTAAGCAGCAGCGAGAGGTGCACGTGCCCACGATCACAGCCCTGTGGGTAATCCTTCTCTCATTTTTCTGTTCAGATCCACCAGCCATAACTAATGCTGCATCTGTGTTCCTTGGGTGAAACTCAAGCACATCCACGAACGTATTAATGGATTTCATCTGGGGTTTGTACATTTTACGCAATTGAAGTGGCAGAGCGCGTTTTTTGCAATGGAAGTGGCAGAGCATCCCCCTGATATGCTTTGCCGCGCAGTTGCCGGTGCACGCCCCACACCCTGGGGGACATATGCACACTGCTGTTGCCTTGGACTCCCGCCTGCCAATCAGCTTTCGGGCCAATTGTAGTGTGCCACACATGGAGCAGATGAGGTCAAAATGATGAGCAAGCAGGGCATGCATAGGGCCAAATCAAGCTAAGTATATGCTGCGTTGCACTGGCAGATCCATGCTTGAAGACGAGATGAGCGCACAGGGCCCAGGGTGTGGGGTGCATGCAGCAGGGTGCAGCGGGTTGGCATGCCACTTGTGCAGCATGAATACCTGCGAAAGCACCCCTGAACATGCAAGCAAGGTAGAATCAAGGCAACCACGTGCTCAGCTCCCGGCCAGGATGTCGATCGCCGGGGCCAGTCACCCGGTCACTGCCCCCCACCTGCGCGGCAGGCTGGGGACGCAGCTGCGGCGTAGCAGGTGGGTTTGAGCGGCGCTTGCCTTTCAAATGGCGCGCGTTCGCCAGCGCAGTAAAACAGACAACTCGTCACTACCAATCAATTACCCACTCTCAAGCGTATCTAGCCTCCACAGAGCGTGCAGATCAGCGTCGAACTCGGCGACAGCCAGGCCATTGCTCAACCATCATTTCAGCGGAAATTGAGCTTTGCTTATCAACCAAATAGAATCATCCTCACAACCATGGCTCGCTTACACTGGGCTCTCACTTGCGGTGAGTGCTCCGGCTCAAGTGAACCACATCAGCAGAGCGCGGCGCCTGCCTGCATCCCTGCAATCTTCCTTGTGCACACCCCTCTACTTCAGCCGCTGTCACTGAATCAGTTTCCTCTTTGCCATCTATCTTGCCCCGCAGCCCTGGCCCTGCTCATCGCCCCCGGGGCCCTGGGCGCGTCCCTGAAGGCCGGCGGCCTGACAACCTCTGACCGCCGCGCCCTGGGCGAGCAGGCCGCCAACGCGCCGCCCGTCCTGCGGATGGGCGACATGACCCTGGTCGGCGGCCGCGTCCCCACCATCAATGTGGGCGGCCAATCAAGCGTGTACGGCAACCTCAACAGCCGCCACAACGGTGGCATCACCCTCAGCGGCGGCGCTCTGGGCCCCTTCCAGAACGAGGGCGGCAATGTGTACATCGACCAGTGGAGCAGGCGCCGCATGGCTGAGCAGGCCGCCGCAGCCGCTGATGCCAACATCATGGCCATCGGCGGCCGCACGGCTGGCTTTGCCCCCTCTGATCGTGCCCCCATCACCAACTTTGGCGGCATGACCACCTTCACCAGCGCCGGCGTGGGTTTCAACGGCGGCCTGACCACCAGCTTTGACAACTTTGGCAACCCCGTGACCAACGAGGGCGGCCGTGGCCAGATCTTCCGCCGCCTGGGCGAGCAGGCCGCCGCCTCTGCCGCCGCCAACATCATGGCTATCGGCGGCCGCACGGCTGGCTTTGCCCCCTCTGACCGCGCCCCCATCACCAATTTTGGCGGAATGACCACCTTCACCAACGCCGGCGTGGGCTTCAACGGCGGCCTGACCACCAGCTTTGACAACTTTGGCAACCCCGTCGCCAACGAGGGCGGCCGTGGCCAGATCTTCCGCCGCCTGGGCGAGCAGGCCGCTGCCGCCACCATCAACGCTCAGGGTGGCAGCACTTTCATCGGTGGCGCCAACCCCACCATGGTCTCCGCGAGCCCTCCCGCCAACGCTGGGGCGGCCATGAACCAGGCCATGGCCGCTTTTGCGCAGGCGCAGCAGTGGGCGCAGCAGGCCGCAGGCGGCAGCAGCGAGCAGCAGCAGTGGGCGAAGCAGATGATGGACGCAACGCCGCAGATGCAGCAGTGGCAGCAGGCGCAGCAGCAGCGGCAGACGGCTGTCGCTGCTTCGGCGGCCGTCAAGCCCGGCGACAAGGGGAGCGAGCAGGGCGCGCCCAAGGGGTCTCCTGCTCCCAAGGGGTCTCCTGCGCCGGCGCACCACCCGTGAACCAGACGGCTGCGTGATGCGCAGTGCTGGCAAGCACGGCAGGCGCAGCAGCTCGCCGCAGAGGCGCAGCATGTGAATGATAGATCCCACACAGCATATTGGTTGTGAAGATTACAGCTCCTTTTCTTGCACCATGGATTTGTTTTTGCGATGTCCCTCTCAGCCCTCTGTTGTTTTGGCTGCAACAGGCTGCTCACACACTCCCCCAAGTAGCTTTGTCCTCGGCAGCATTTTGATGCAACCAACCGGTTGACAGGCGGCTGCGATACGCCGCGCCCCCTTGCGCAAGCAAGTGTCCCTCATGCAATGCTTCGTACCCGGTACCTGAAGCTCGGCCCTTGCAAATGCAGTACCCGCCTGTCAGCATACATTGTAACATCCCGCACGTGGTACTCAGGATGTAAACAATCTGCCATGGCAATATGGGGTAATTTTGAAAGTGCAGCGGTGACGGCACTGCCCAAACACGGGCCTCACTTTGCCGCGCATGTAGAAAACAGATGCACAAGCATTCAGGCTGCTGGGGTTGGGCATGCTTGGGCGCGCGCCCAGGGCGACAAACAAGTACGCTTGTGGTGCGGCGCACATAGGTGGCCCCGCACAAGCAGTCAAGGTCAAGTCAGCAGGGGCTTAGCAAAGGTCAAGCCTGGAGTAGCCTCAATGTGTTTTCAGCTCCGAGCAGTAGCAGCACAATGCGTTACGGGCTGCTGCTGCTGCTGCTGCTGCTGCTGCTGCTGCTGCTGCTGCTGCTGCTGCTGCTGCTGCTGCTGCTGCTGCTAGCTGACATTAAGCATGACGGGGACAATGGCAGGCCAGGCAAGTGATGCCAGCCCTGGGGTGCTGCCGGCCAGCCCAGCTGCCTTCGACAAAGGGAACCTTTGTTTTGATGGCATTCATTGGAGCGAAGCCATATGCATGAGCCGGGTGATGCGCGTCTCCCCGTCACTCTGCGTTTAGCTGTGGCACAACTGACAAATTGGACAAGCGGCCGCGGGCCACTGGTCGGGCGTCAGTATTGACAACTGCACCGGTGCATGCGGTCCACGGCACCCTCCAGCGGCGTTCTGCCCTCTCCCTGGGCTTTATCTAATGTAGTAAATTTGACATTGTTTCAGTACGCAATTGCGCCAAAGACGTCCTGTTGCCGTATCTACTAAGCCACCTTCAACCGACACGTGCGCCACACTCCTGCCGCCCGGTGGCGGTCTGGGCAGATCGTCACCTGGTGTGGTGCCCAGCTGCCGCGCAGCACCTCTTGCGCTGCTGGGCAGCTCAGGGCGCGGTTGTGCCCGTTAAAACTTTCTAGCGCGATCAAACAGCCATAATAACTTCATATTGCTATCACACCCACCGCAACCCATTACTGTATAATTTCGCGATCAAAGCGCTGCTGCTCGGTCAGTTGTGTTCTCTTCTGACTCACTCGCTGTGGCTCAATCACTTTATTTATCAGTCAAGAGTGTTGATATGAGACGCCATCTCTGCGCGCTGCTGAGTGAGTGCCTCAACTGGAAGGCCACAGTGGTCTGTTCTCAGCCCGCAGCTGAGCAGTGGCCCATTGACGCCACGCTGAACAGCATGCACCACATCCACTTGCAGCACCCCACATATCGGCAGCTTGCATGACTGACACATCACACGCCACTCTCCCGCCTCACCCGCCCGCCCTTTTACCCCCGTCCCTCAATCCCGCGCAGCCGTGGCCCTGCTCCTAGGCCCTGGCGCCCTGGCGCAGGCGGCCGCCGGCCACCGCAGCCTTGGCGAGAAGCTCGCCGCCGCCACCAACCAGCGCATCTACGCGTCGGGCGGCCGCACAACCGCCTTTGCCCTCAGCGACCGCAGCCAGGTCACCACCTTCAACGGCAACACGCTCGTCACGC